TCGTAGGAAAACTGGCAAGTTAAGGAAGTGATTCTTCCCTCTACCACACACTCATGAGTACTCATCTTTACCTTGTAAAGACAGATAACAAACCTGCATTAGTTAATGTGCATTCTAAAAAGAGCTCTAGAAGTTCTTGAGAAGCATTATTATTTATTTCGGAGGGAAAGTGTTTTGCTATATGACTAGAGATACACTAGACACATACCTAAATAAAGTTAGAAGGTAAAATTTTTTAGGTATCAGAAGTGTCCCCACAAGACTGTGATTTTCTAAGCTATCGGTAGTTCTTTGGCTACTTACATCCTAAAGGTAGGGTTTTAACTGTGCTTTTTAGATCTGAAATAATGAGGGATATAAAGAAGATGGAGAATCACCTCAGAGGTGCACAGAGAAAGGACAGACAACAAACATAAGTTGCAGAATTCTGCCCAGTATTTGGCAATCTCCAGGATGTTTAATCTCCATCCTTGGAGGTACTTGGAACTCAATCAAGTGTGTCTCTGAGCTAAGTCCCTGGCTGGACCGGATGATCTCCAGAGTTTCCTTCCAACCTAAATTTTTGTATGATTCTATGATTATGACTGCATAAAGACCTCTTTCACTTTCACGTGAATCATGTGATGTCACTTTGTGAGCTCATATCAGTCCCTTGATGTCATAATATCGGTCTTGCGGGGTTCATTTCTGTTCCTATTTTATACTATGTCAATCCTGACAGAGATTGAAAATTTTTAAATCAGAACATTGTGTTTGCTGACCTACTTCAAGCGTGACCATGGTCATATGTTAAATGCTTATTACATTAATTGCTTTTTTTTGGAAAGCTTACTTAATACAGCTTGATAACAAGGTTCCTAATTTTTCACAGCAAATGTAGTTTTATAACTAATAAAACTAGTGCCACCTGTATTATGGAGAGTTTCAATGTTTTTGACTTATCTAGATGGCCTCTTATTCAAGTGGAGTTACTTTGGAAGTGTCTTGGAATATGCGGCTTATATGTATTTCTTCTTGGGTGAAATGAAAAATTTAATTATATGAAAAAAATGCAAATTGCTGCCAACTGTGTTAACTGTGAGAGAGTTGCATTATCTTCTAACATAAATTGTCAGTGAATTGAAGAAAAGACGTTTTGGAAGCTGATCTGATTACTGTCAGGGAAAGTGCTCAAACTCAATTGTTGGCAAATGTCCAGTACCCATCACTGAACGATCATCACCTCATCATTCAGCCTTCTCAACTGACATGCAAAACAACATCCAAATATTCATTGCACATCTGTGCTGGACAGATTATGCATTAGCAATTCAAATCAATTCAATGTACAGGCAGTTTCTGTAAAGGCGTCTGTTTGGGTGAGATGCCTTGTTGTCTGGGATGGATAATAAGGCAACTCTGTCTAATCTTGGAGAACAATCAACCCATCTTGAGAAGGTGACTGACTACGTATGCTCTTGCCCTGACAGCACTAGAACAATGGCCCCATAATGCACTTGACTCAGCTGGTAATAAAATCTACTTTTGATTAGCAGCCATGGCTTGTGTCAATCACTGCATGATGTACCATTGTCCTCTGGTCTTGAACACAGTTTATTTACAGGGAAACAAAAGCTTTTTGGATATGGCTGCTGCCCAGAGATTGCAAAATAGATTGAGCTGTCAGCCTCACACACTAGATGAAGATTAATGAGTTGTGCAGACAATAAATATGAAGCAATGACCATAAATATGCTAATAGGTATTATCCATATACACTATAATTGCTACAAAAATTAAAAAGTAGTGTGAAGGAAATAGGTCACAGGGTGACAGATAGATAATCTTGGATGCTGAAGATCTTTGGTTCAGTCAGATTCTCTACAGGTTTATTTCCTTCAATTAGACCCTTCAAAAGAGTAATTGTTTAAAAGCTGTTTGAATAATCTCTTTTGAAACAGAGGTTTATGGGAAAATGTTTATGAAAAAGTGACTTCAATGAACATGTTATTGGAATGAAAAAGGTGACTACTAAAAACAGGCTACGCAGAGATTAATGTCCATGATCAGCTGCCCAGCTTCACTCTGAGGAAAATATCTCTAAGTGGCACACTAGTGAGGACTTCAAGAAAAACATACCGAAGAGACACAGCAGTTTGTATCCACAGACACAAGTGAGTAAGGTCATTCCTGACCAAAATATATAACAGTTTCATGCACATCTGGTTGTGTTCGTTGGTTTGGTGTTTTCAGCTTAGCACACTCCTTCTTCTTCTTCTTCTTCTTCTTTTTTTTTTAACTGAAGAAAGGAAGGATGCCCACGACTCAAATTTTCAGAGTACTTCCAATCAAACCTCTGGTTTTCCAGTTCCTTTCAAAGAGCACACAGTCTAGACAGTGCATGATTTTTGACACTCTAGGATTTAATTTGAACCTGAAACTCAGGGAGTTAAACCTCAAACTATGTTAGCTACACGTATAAATGCTTCAGCACCTAAGGCTACTGCAACTGTAGTGACACTGAAAATAAAGGCAGTCGTACTCTTGGTATTCATGGCTTTGACTCTCTGTTCTCTGAGGCTTAGAAGTGCCACTGGATGATTTTCAGGTCAGCTCACACCACCCATCTCTTCTCCTCAAATTTTTAGCTTCTGGAGCAGGGAAATTACTCAGATACTCTCCCAGATCCAATTTAGTATTATAATGTCAGGCTTGGTGATACAAATGAGTTGTTTTCTCTTTCCTTCCATACTTTAACTAGAGGTTGCATCAGCTTGGCTCTTAATTTATCACTGCCTGGATTTTTGGCAAACAATCCACAAAGACTTACAACTGCCTTAGTGCTTCTGCGCCACGCTCCCTGCAAACTCAGCTGGACATCAACTACACTTGCCTAATATCTTGGCAGTCACACTTTCTAACCAGAAATACCAGTAAAACAAAGCACAAAAAGGTAAGGGACCATTTAAGAAAATGTCTCACACAAAGCCAGCAGGTGAGGGGAGAAGCATGTCTGTCTGGATGAATTGGTGGAGGGGGAGGAGCTCTGGAAGCTGCAGGCTCAGAGACCAAGTTCTTGTTCCCAATCCCACTTCAGCAATGGCATGGGGTCTTTTTAAACTGGGCGCTGTGATTTTAGTCTCGTTTGTAGTGATGAGGCAAGTCCAAGGTCAAACCAGAAACATGAGTCACCAAATCAGGTTCAGGTCTGGTGATGGTAGCCAGGGTCAGTTACCGGTGCCGAATCACACGTTCCTCATCCAACTCGTTGCAACCACATAGCAGATTTTAGAGCCACCTCCTTGCTGACTAGGTCCATGGCACACTTGTAAACGGAGGCCTTTCTTGAATCCCTTCGGTGGCTTCCCTCTCCTTAATACACTGAGTTTCTTCACCGTATTTTCATGAGACTACTATTAATTTCTCCTTTCCCTGCTTATTCACTGATGCCTCTGCCAATCATGAATTGCCTTGAGGCGCTTTGCTTGCAATAAAACATATATTTTATCTAATTTTAACTATTTTTAGTTAAACAACTTTGTGTGTATCCATTATGAATTGTGTTTTAGGACTGAGTAAAAGGTCATCACATACAGGGTCTCTGCAACTTCGTGAAGCCTTCATTCCTCATGGCTTTGCCAGACTTTATCATCATTTCCTGATGGGCTGTTTGGAATAGTAAATAAATGATATTAACAAAGCACTGAAAGATTTTAGCAGTTTTGAAGGAAGGATCTGTAGCAATATGTACAAAGAAAGTGACATTTTGGGGTTTATTGTCACTTTGAAGAGGGCCTGTGGCATTAATTTTCCTATTCTTACGTGGAATTTTACTTGCATTTAAGCTGCAACTTTAGATATTTTATAATATTAAGTAGTTCAAAATGATGAATGAGAGACCTGAGAAATTATGGGGATAAAGATGCATCATAATTACAGAAGCTCTAATGCAAGCAGAGTAGAAAATAAAAATAACAAACATTTGCATTAAAGAAAACTAACATATATGAATTAAAGAAAAATGGAAGGAAAGAAAAGAGTTAAAAGAGCAGTGCTGCTTAGGCGTACATACACCAGATATCCCACTGCTCAGATAAATAACACGTATAAGAGGAGAGGAATGGACTTTGTATCCTTTGTTCTATAACCCACCATGTACAAGACACAGGTATTATACCACCACGAAAATGCTGTATTTTTATTCTGTATATTTCCACTTTGAGAGCCATCCCTGTGGTAGTGTCACCAAACCAGATATTCCTCTTTACCTAAGGGAGGAGGTCCATGGATTTTTAAACAACCTTATTTAAACTACTGGCTAAGAAAAACTGCAATAAAGGAGTGTGTGCCAGTTGCAAAGGCCTGTTCATTAAAGATGGAGGCTCTGCTTTAGCAGGATTTGCATGAGGAAGAACAAAACATCTGTGTCAATCTGTTCATATGAGGCAAGGTCCCCTAACAGTTCCTTCCATAAAGAAATTAATTTCAACCATCCATTGTTAGTTGAGTTCTCATTTCCAGCTCTCTGTAAACCAATTTTTTTGGGGGGTAGCTGTACCGCAGCTGAACTCTGGGTGCTATAACCAAATCAAGTTGCAGTTTCTGCATGACCACTACTTTGCTGCTTTTTTGTCTATCGTCTTTACTCAGAGTTGTATTAATTCTTAAAATGAGGTGCTATCTTCTACAGGTGCAACTCACTACAATAGAGTGCAATGCAGAAGAATGAAGAAGCAAAGTTCTCAGCCACATCAGCTGCCAATCTGTGATTCATATGCTACTAATTCGTTTTAATATGATAAGGGGAAATTAGTTGGTTTGCCTAAACTTCACTCTGATAACAGCAATAAAAGGCATGGTCATAAAGTTCAGTTTCATTTTCTGGCTGAGGATAAGTTTTGTTTTCTTTTCTTTCTTATCCTGGTAGCAGTTTCATTTCTCTGCTGTTAGCTAGGCAACATATAAGAAGATTGGTTGAGCCTCGCAGTGCTTCAGTGGATTCCACACCATCAGAAAGAGAAATGGCTGACCAAAATGTCCGCAATGCTGGTTTCACTTCCTCTGGTATCACAAGAGGATCACTTGCTTCATCGATGATGTCCCAGGAAGCAAGAGCATCTGGGGGAGGTGTCCATTCTGGAGGCCCTACTGCAGCTCTCCAAGAAATGGGTATGAGCAATTTTGTGTGTGTGTGTGGTTTTGTGGTTTAGTGCATAGGTCCAAACAATTTCTTTTTCCTTGAAAATAAGCTTGTCAAGTAATGTCTTCTCTCCACATTCCTGTATTGCACTAAAGACAAAAGATTCCTATATTAAACTGCATGTTATGAGTGGGATGCTATTAAGGGTGTTTTCTGTGTATGTACATATGCATGAATGTACACATACATATGTGGTATTCATGAGTTTCAGTGTTTATTTGAAGTTTGTGCTATCTCTCCATTCTGCTAGGAATCATCAATAATACGGAAAGTCATCGTAGCAATAAGCAACGATACGCTTATGCAAGAACATGATCTGTGTACCTACATTTCATATAAATTATCAGATTTCCCTTGCTTTTTACTCACACACATCCATATAGGGAGAACCCATAAAACCTTATGCAAAGGCTATTGCAGAGGGAAATTAGCTGCAGTCCAAGAGCTGAATTCACGAAGGGAATATATACACATCCTTGACAGCACCTATCTAAGTACTAAAATCAGGCATAGCTGGCTTTCATGTGAGCTAACCCTGCAGGTGCTTGCTTTTCTGTTGCATGCACAGAGCAAACCCTGACCTGATGACTCTAAGCAGCTTGGCACTTGTTTAACCCCAGATCCTGTGGGATTCACGCGCAAGTTATTCTCCCTGCCAGTCCTGCCTGTGTGACCTGATTCAGCAGGCATCCTCTAAACAGGCAGAACTCCACAGAAGAGAGTGCCCCCTGTAATCCTGCTCTACCCAGCAGCACGGTAGTTAGCTCGCTGACCTTGGATAAAAGCTTCAAAACTCTTTTTGCCTTAGGGGTCTTGGACCCACATCTCCCACATATCAGGAGCATGCTAACCAGTAGCCTGGTTATTGGTGGGGATCTCTGCCATATTGGTCAACCGCTGACCTGCTGCTTTTGTAGTAAGCTTCTAGAAGGCTACTGAAGGATGGAGCTGAGCCTGACTCTTCCAGCCATAAAAAGAATGGTTGGCCAGGCGAGCTGGCCAGGGTCCAGATTTGGGGCATCTTTTAATAGTAAAAAATGAGATAAGCTTGGTTGAGAGGAAGTAAGTTATTTTTTTAAGATATGATTCACATTGCTGCCAATATTATTCATAGCGTGAGGCTCTCCAGACAGTGAGGAAATAAGTGACATAAGGGTCATTTAAAGAGATACTGCATGTGACTCCTGAGGCATTTTTAAATTTTTACTCAGTATGATTTGATCAGTGAGTTTAGGTTACTGAATACAGTGTTTATTGAATATTCAATAGGAAAGAGCTTAAGGGATGGTAGCAGCAGAGGGACTGAATATGGGAGAGAGTCAGGAGAGGAGGAGGACCGAGAGAATGAAGAGCAGGAAGAGCTGCTGTCAGGCACCACGCTGCATTAGCAGCAGAAATCCTGGTACATGGGAGATGCCAGTTACTTAATCTAATCATACACTAGAGCAGAGTTAGCTGCACAGTCTTGCCTTCTGTTACGGTAAGGATGGTACAGCAGTACTCAGCACACCCATAACCAGCGGCAAACTCTTCAGTGGTCATGCCCTATAGAGAGCATGAAGTTGCAGTTTCTAAACTAAAAGACTGAAGAATTGTATCCTTCCATGTGCTGAGAATCTTTAGGAGAGAGGAGCAACGTAAACATTTAACGACGCCTGGTTTTATTCTTGCAATGTCTATATCAGCTATGGACTTCATTATTTTGGTGAAGAGAAATCTTCATGACTCAAGGAAACCTTAGCCATGCCTACAGGAGATACTCCAAAAGCGCTTTTATCCATGTGAAAAATGCTAGCTCTGTAACATTGCCAAGACAGGTGTGAGCTTTGGCTCCCTGCAGCAGGAGAGCTTGCCACACATTCTTTGCCTGATTGAGAGCTAAAAGGGCCTGATTTCATTTCCGCAGGTGCTCACTGAAATCTCTCACTCTTCAAACACATCTTCTTAACCTTTTCATTCAGACTGTAACCCTTCCTCCCCCCCAGAACAAACGCGCTCGAAGGAACGGCTGATTCTGCAGCAGGGCATGAGTATTGTTCAGTATCACTTTACAGAAGATGTTATAACAAGCTCATCACCAAAATATTTGAGCATCCTCCAGGAACGCTTTAAGCATTATCACTAGCATTTGTCATCTTTAATGCTTTACTCCTCTCCCAGGAGAAGAAGAGTTTGCAAGGGAATACTTTGCTTGAGGCTTATTTATACTGAGATGGAGATATACATATAAATTGGCCACTGGCTACCACAGCTTGCTGTGTTTGAATTTTACAGGTATCTATTATGTATAAGTTTATGCTATGGAAAGTGAAGTGAAAGGAACATATCCGTCACCTGGAACAGTAAGTGGTGAGGTCTGCGGCAACCCTTAATTCCTGTAGGAATTTGTTCCACAGTCCACATTTGTTCCTCAGGCAGCTCCTCAGAAAATTGCGATTTCAGCAGAGACAAACTGTGCTGAAGCTGTTTTGGAGATCCAAATTTATCGAAAACAGTCTGTGCGAGAGTTGTAGATTTTCTTTGAGTTCTGGGAACATCCACAAAACACTGCAAATGTCCTTTCCCCAAGGTGGCAGATAAAAGCAGTATGGTTTTTTTCCAAATGATGGAACAAGTCAAGTAATCAGCAGCCTTCTTTTCTTTTGATACATTTGCTAGCCTCGAATTTTTTTAAAACACAGTAGTTGTTTATAATTATCTCATAAGGTTCCTTCCAGTCAGTAACATCTCCCTTGTAAATGTTCTAGGTGCCAGAGGCTCGACCCATTCATCAGGTTTTACCAGCAGCGGGATCTCTGGTGGATCCAAGGCTTCCCAGATGATGTCCCAGGAGGCCAGATCTCACGGAGGTGGAACTCCCAGGGGTGGTACAACTGCCACCGTCCAGTCCATCTGTAAGTGAGAGTCCTCCAGATAGATAAAGAAGAATTAACAGATGACTTTCAAGAAGTCAGCAGTATTTCAGCTCAAGTGTACATTTACTAGATGAAGGGATGTAAATAAGAGAAGTGGCTGCATTGCACCTGAAGCAATGTTTCTCCTGTTTGTTGCTTTATACTTGGTGGGAAGCTGAAACTAGGGAATTAGTGGAAATAACTATGCCACGAAGTTGCAGAGATATGGGTAGCTAGCAGAGACAGAAATCTGAAACACATAGTGACAGAAAAAAGGCCAGTGGAAGTTTAGGTTATGCTTTCATCATCACCACAATGGAAGTTCATTAATTTTTTTCAAGCACAAATTCAGGACCAAACCAAGAGCTTCACATTTGAACATGCAAAACAGATTAAGTGGGAGGAAACAGCAAAACATGAGAATGGAGTTATCAGACTGACAGATAGGAATCATTACTCCACTTCTTGTGGCCTTTTAGAAAATCTTAGCTTTCTTTCCTTTAAAGGAAGTTCATTGGGTCAAAAGCAGAGGGATCTGCCTGCACTTACCAGCTCAAAGCAGAGAACACCACAAATTTTCCTTATCACCCTGCCAAGTTAATGCATCCCACACCTAGATAAATCAAACCAAGGTATGAGGAAGCCTAGTCTATACCTGAAAACATCAGTAAGGATGCTAATTATTGTAGTGGGATCCTACAGGGTTTGGAAGAGAATTGGAGACAGGACTGAAGTTCTTAATTTCAAAAAGTGTCTTTCACAGTGTAACAAAGACCTTTGGTCTCTGACCTGGGAACATCTGTAACCAATGCTCAGATATTCTGTATGTTTTCCTGTACTGCAACTTTGCTTTAGGTTGTTCTCACAAGTTTCTTTGTATTTGTCCTTAGCAATGGGTGGCAAAGGAGGAAGACGCTGAATAGAAGAAAAACGTCAGTCCAGAAATAAGCTCTGCAAGCAGTTCATCCTTTACTAACAGAGTCATTTGACAACTTCTCCCCTTTGCTCTCCCTGTCACTGAGGTGAAAGGCGAAGCCTTTTTGGCATGCATAAATAAAATTTCTCTGAAAACGATGGATTCTTCCGTTAAATTAGTGGGGATAGGGATGAGGGGCAGTTTCTTCCTTGAATAAACATTCTCTGAAGCACAGACATGTACAAACACAAGCCGATAAATGGAAGCTAAGGTACTTTGGACTGCAAGGGTGTCTTGCCAAAACCCTGGGTTTAGCAACACTACATTCTCCACTTACAGGTAGCTTGCTTTGTTTATTTTACAAAAAAATTATCACAGTGCAAAAATCACCCTGTTGTGAGAGAGGAGCATAGAAACACTTGATAAGAGGCATCCAGCAGTTCCCTTTGGATGTACTTTTAATAGACTACCAAATTAAATTCTACTGCATTAAAAATACACATAAGCAAATGAGAACAGGTCCCACGAAATTTCATACCTCAGAGACGCAACTGATATTTATATCCCTCTACTATTTCTAAAATCCCTTTCACATTAATTTAATTTCAAGTCCCTCTTTCTTTATTGAGAGGTGTCAGCTTTGCCACAATTGGACCAAACCTACTCCTGTAAATTTCTTATGATACCTGAGAACAGATAAGGAAGAGAGCCCATCTTCTCTGGTATAGGTCTCACTACTGGGGCCTCTTGCTGTTCGCCACATGCCTGACTCATTTCCTTCATATGTACTCATACGATGACATTTCCCCAAACACACGTAACATTGCCCATTCCCCATAGAAATTCCCACACACATACTCCCCCACACTTCCATCTTCCTCCTGTCTTTCTGGGTCCTCATCCTCCCTCCCCTATAACCTCCCTCCCTCTGTATTTCTAACAAAACCACACAATGCAACTTCTCCTTCCCTTTCCCCACCCCAGGACAGAGGAAGAGAATCTCCCACCTTCAGGCCAGAAGTTAAGAGGCGCTGGGTTTGTGGTGCTGCACTCAGTGATTTTCTCCAACCACTTCTGTCACCCAGCTCGAGCATTCCCACCTCAGCTGCATCTCTTCATGGCTGGGAAACATGTTTGTACCCATACACCTCATGCTCTCAAATACGGTCTTCTCCCTCCTACCTAAGCACCTTCCTGAATGGACATGAGCAGTCAGCATTTGCCTCCAGTTGCAGCAAAGTTAAATTGAATTATTTGATGAGCGGAGGAGTGCTAGTATGGAGGAGAGGCTGATGAAGAGGGGAAGAAAGGTATCTGCGCTTGCTGTGCTACGCAAAGGATTAAAAGGCAATTGAAAAACAAAATCTCCATTTCATGGGATGGAGATGCTCTCCTAGCAAGGCTCTATCTTGGGCAAATGCTTAAATGTAACCAGGAGTTGAAGTCATAAAATCATAGGAAGATTTACTTTCAAAGGGACCTTGGTGTGAGAAGAATGGGGGCAGTTCTCTAGTCCAACCTTCCACTCGAAGCAGTGTTAACCTTAATGTTAGACTTGTTTGCTCAGGGCTTTGTCTGGTCAGGTTCTGAAAATCTTCAAGGAGGCAGATATAACAGCTTCTCTAGGCAACCTGTTCAACAGTTTCACTGCTCTCACAGTCGAGATTTTTTTCCATATATTGAAATAGAATTCCTTTTGTTGCAAAGTCACACTTACTCCAATGGATCGTGAAGTACATACTTAATAACGATGTATTTTAGAGTTTTCTGCTTTAGAGATTCACCAATAAATATGCTCTCCTGAACTGGCACCTAGGCCTAAAAGTCATGAAGATGGGACTAGAAACATCCTTTGCAGAGCTCAGTGCCTCTGCTGAGAACAGACACGCTATTTACAAATCACGCACTGTCACACCAACAGGACTGAATGCTTTCTCTCTCCCCATACTTTCTGTACAATTACAGTTTTAGAGATTTCTTCACACAATAGTAGTGGCTTATATTTGTATGTTAGCTTTCATACTTAAGGACCCTGAACTGTTTTGTTCACTGCAAAGGAAATGCAGGAACATAATCCCAAGCCTTTTTTTTTTTTTTTTTTTTAAGGTCAGGCACATTTTAACTTGACTTGAGTGGTAGTTTACATGCTTGCATGTGTGTGAAAGCTTCCCTGCTCATGCCTGCGTGCTGGCTATCTGCTGCTAAATTGTCACCACTGCCATAAGTATCTAATTGTAATATTGCTGTTGTAGTCTGCAACAAATAAAGAAAGAAAAGGAATGAAGAACACCTTGTCCAGGTGAAATAAATAAAAAAAAAAATTAAGCTGTTATGCAGTAAAAAATGTAAGTATTCAGGACTCACAGACAACTCACCAGACTCAAGGGTCTGTGAATCTGACTGAGAAATGTGGGGCATGCTCTCTGAAATGGTATTTTAGATGTAATTTTCAGCCTTTCTTCTAGCCCTTCTCTATTCTCCTCCCGCATCTCTTCAGATCTTAGCCACCTCTCTGCAACAATGATTTTCCCACATGCCCCAGTCACCATTAAGCACGAGGCAAAAGATTTGGCCGAACACGAACGGTAGGATCTGGAAACCGGTGTCACCAACCTGTGAGGAGGGAAAGGAGGGGGAGGCTGCTGGTTTTACTCTGAGGAACTTTCTGTCTGGTTCTTCGGTTGTGGTTGTCCCTGCTTATAACAGGCCTGCCTTTCCCACTGTCCCCACCAAAACAGCCTCCAATTAAGAAATCCCCTTTCCTTCTCGCTTTCAAACCTGCTCCATAGTCATCCTTGATCCCTTTTACGGTGGGAGCAGCCTCACAACCGCTGCGGGACATCAGCAGGGTGCTGTGACTTTCCTCTCCCACCGCGGCTCACCCTCTGCGAGAGCTGTGTCGGAGCACTTTGCTGGCTTGGGTTCTGCCCCATGACCTCACGTCACCTCCAAAAAAAGGCTGCGGCAGCTTTGTCAAACAGCTGCTGGGGTATAGGCGGAGAAAGCTGGCTACGTAACCAAGAACACAGCTCAATTTTTCTAAGGCGCTTAACGTTCCTCGCTTGTGGCAGCTTCATCGAAGTTCTGCCATGTCTTTACACAGAGGGGAGGGAGCATAAGGTCAGTGTAAGGCAATAAAGCATTTTATATCTATTTACTACAGATTAAAGGAGGTGGGCAAGTAAAAGGCAAAGGAGAAGCTGCATCCTGTCTTTATTGATTTTTACAGATCACCAGTGATTCTGCTTTTGCAGCTTTGTCCACCCAGCGTAATAAAAATAAAAGCATTGAAACTCCAGAGATTTGGCATAGCCTGGGATGCATATGTGCAAACATGGACTCAGCAGTTCACTGCTCTTTAAGTCTCGGCTAGTACGTGACTCTAATTAAGCCATCCTACACTTTCCTCCCAAGGCGTAATGCAACAGCCTGTGACTGCTAAAATATAGCTGCGATCTATCGGCAGATCTTTATTCCCTTCTATGCCCTCAGTGCTGGCATGAGGTGGAGCAAGAAGGTCTAACCTGGCTTTTTCCCATTCAGAGATTCCCCCTGTGTGCAAGGGCTCTCAGAGAACAGCAAGGACCTAGCTTCCCACAAGCAGACATTCGAACACCTGCTTTAGCACCGATGATGCTGAAGTGAGTCATAACAATGAGAGTAATGCAAAAATGACAAGAAAGAGTAGAGAAGTCAAGCACATACATAACTTGTCGGACAAACAGTTTTGTAAACTGAAGCTGTATTATGCGAGAAACAACGTGTGACCGTTTAATGACAATTAAAGACCTTGTTTCTTATTTGCCTGCAGAGGGGAAGATTTAAAACTGGGTTTCAACTTGAATGCTGGCATTTCTTGACCTCAAGTGTTTTTGTCTTGTTAAAAAATGACTATCATTAGTGAGAGCTGACAAAAGGTATTTATGCCTAAAAGAAGGAAAACCAATCCAAACCAAAGCAAGGATCCTTAAGCACATATCATTTCACTTTTCAGCGCTTACGTGACGCTGGCAGTTTGGATTACTTTTCCCATCTTTAGATCTTGTTGTGTTGAGAACTAGCCTAGATGGCTTTACGGCAGCAGGGAGCATCCTCAGCTGCATTTGAATTCACTTAACTGCATCAGCTCTAATAGGTCTACAGGAGAACAAAGGTAAATGCTTCCTCCTGAAAGCCTTACTCGCAGACCACTTAAGCAAATTCATATGCACATTACTACAAATGAAGTATTTACATTTTTAACAGATTATAATGGAAAAGGTCAAATAACAACAAATATGGCAATCTAAATCCCTCATGTCTCTCAATCAATCTTTCCACAACAAATAGACAGAGAGAGAGAGAAAGGAAAAGAGGCAGCAGTGTGAGATTACCAGAGCAATAGCACTGAAGCAATACACTGCAGAAAGCACATAGCTCTCTGCACGGAAATCAATTTCTCCCATGGGATGGGGTCGATAGTTGTCTGACAGGACAGTATACAGGCAATTTAATAGCATTTTATCTAAATGAATCTATTCCCCCCCCCCCCCCCCCAGCCTCACAGTTCATAAGAAGGCTCTCTTTGTAAAATAGATTTATTTATTTTTTATCATACAACAGGAAAGTATTTATCATTCTGAAGACACTACCATTGTCTATTAAAAATCATTTATCCCTGTTAAGTTACTCATTACCCACAACTGTTTCCCAACATTGTCATTCTAATTAGTTAAGTCATGCACACAACCCATAAAAATGACTTTCAGTTACTCTGGAAACATTTTTCTTACCCCAAAACGTTTTAAGCTATAGATCATTCTTTCAGGAAAAATAAGCCCACAAAGCAGGCAAACTCAGTTGGCTCAGAAGAGCATTGGTATCTGAAATAACATTTTTATGCAAGAAAAAGCTTTTTTTTTTTTTTTGAGGAATGCATTATACACAGAGATTGGCTGTCCAGTGTATCTATTTTAATAGTACTTAATAACTGATAAATAATAAAGCCAAGCTGATCTTATTAG